GAGGGAAAACGGCCACGAAGGTGCGGTCGACTGTCACTTCCTGGGAGGATAGAAAGTTAGAATACAGAAAAGACGACCTTACCGGAGGCTTCAACTAAGCGGGAAATCGAAATCGCGAAGGGAGCTTCTGACGAATCATCTGTCGAAGGGGCCAGGTCTTGTGCGACACTCTCGGCTTCCGAATCCACTTCCTCGACATCTTGCTCCTGATCTGGCACATCGGCGGCTGCCGAGCACCTTCATTTCAATGACAGCTACAATTCTTGTCGCTGCTCGTGCCCGCAAACAGTCTACCCTCCCGAATAAGTCCGAGCCCCCACCTCATAGTCAATGAATCAGCACCACTACTTGTTTATGAGCTCACCGCTCGGGCAACACCGTGATCAACTGACCAATCGGGTAGCAAGTCAAATAGCAGAAGACAAGAAACAAAGACAACCTCGAGATTGCGTACCTCTGCGAACCCTGGCATTGGCTACTCGGTCCCTCTAAGCTTGTAAGGCAAGCTGCCCAAGGTCGGATTTCTCGCGAATCCGCGGCCGCTGTCTGCATGGCAGTGTGCTCAAAGCAGCCCTCACCCGGCCCTCGTCGCCCTTGAAAGCCACAACGTGGTATGGGCGAAGCTGCAGCTGTGCTTCCGAGGCCTTCTCCTGGCATGGCTCGAGTTGCAATAACCAATTTGTGTGCAGCTGGAGGTATTCTGAGGTTTTGATGAGGGCTAAATGCGTGACGCTCGTCTTGAGCAGCCTCGAGACCCTTTGACTGGCTGCAATGGTGAACCGTAGCCCATCGTACCAATTGGGACGCCGCATCTCGTTTTCGTTAGACGATTGCTGTTGTAGTGGTTTGCCGCTGGTCGAAGGTGCATCTTTCGGTGTGTCTTCTCCTCCTACCTCCCAGCTACCAAAGAAAATCTCTCTCTCACTCTCTATCTCTCTCTCTCTCTCTCTCACACTCGCTCTCGCTCGCACTCGCGCGCTCTCTATCTCTCCCTCTCTCTCTTCATAAGTCCTCCGTCAATGGGGCGAGCAGGACAGCTCCATTCGCCCATTCGGGGGTGACCTCGCAGTTCGCATCGACCACGTCACGCCGGCACTCGGCCAACTCTGCCGAGTTCAGGAGCACTTGCTTGATGGCTGCCGAGCAGCTGGACAGCCGCAGCAACACGGCATCTCCCAACATCTCCTCTTCTGAATGGACTTGAGCCCTGTGCTCGATGGGATCCTTGAAGGAAGATTCTGATTTCTGCGAGGAGGCGTCGGACTCAGAATCAGACTCGCTGGACGAGGCCGAAGAGGACGCCCTGCACGGTTTGGGTGGAGCCCAGCCCTGCCGGAACCTCTCCTCTGTGACTTCCTCAACAGTATCGATCCCAAGGCTCTTTATGTGTGGCCTCATGAGGTGGAGATTTTCAAAGACTCCTGCACCAGGCGAAGCGACGGGCTTTAGCACGCGGAAGAACATCGTCGGAACCATGCCCTCCAGCTTCACTCCAATTGCAACAGCCTTTACTTCTCCGAACTTGACCTTCTCTCCATGCCGACAGCCACTCACATGCAAGCAAACCTCGTCACGCACGTCAAATAATTCAAGCTTGGTGCGCCCTTTGACACCTTGCGGGTAGCGAAACGTCGGCTGGATGCCCTGCACGAACTCAGGGCTAAAGGCTCGTGGCTCGAGTTCCTCAAACGCTTTGACCTCTTGCCTGCCGACAACGGAACCTGTCCGCCGAATGAAATCCTGTTCCTTGAAAATCCCAGCACCGGGCGCTCCCTCAACGTGCATCCAGAGATGAGGCGTGCCGAGGTGGTCCGGGCGGACTCCGATGACCACAGCTTGGCAGTCCATACCACGCAGATGGACGACATCACCGTGCTTGAAGCCACCCACCCCCTCACACACTTCGTCCCTGATGTCGAAATACGCCGGATCCAAGGACTTCTGCAGGTAGCGGAAGGTGTAGTCATACTCGAAATCCGGGTCGAGCTCACGCTTCAGCTCCCCAGCGTGACTTGCAAGGGCCGAGCGGACCTCGTCCGCCATCTTTTTCAGTACACTCTTTTTGGATCTACCAGCATGCCGGAACAGAGGATCTGAAGCAGATACCTCCTGCACGGCTGCTGAACCGACCACTTTGAACTGGTGCCGAACAAGGTGATACCTGTCGTACATGCCAGCTCCCGGCGACCCATCCAAGTGGAAGAACAGGCAGGGTACATCATCATGCAGCCTGACCCCTACCACCACAGCACACTTGCCGTCATGATCTCTCACCTTCTGGCCATGCCTGAACCCTCCGACGGCTTCGCAGACGTGATCGCGGATGTCAAATTTTGCAAATAGTGGGAACATCGCCCCGCACGGATAGCCAAAGGTACACTGCAACGTTGTGGCCAGGTCCCGAATGTCTGCAGACGGTGCCGGAGTTTGAAAGAACTCGTCGGGCGCCTCTTCCACCATGCGGGACCCAACCTCGGCAGCAAAAGGCATCTCAAAAAGGATCTCGAGTGAAACATGTACAGCATGTGTGACCTTCGACGACCTTCTCTGCACGCGCAACACCTGAGGGTCCAACAACCGTGAAGTTCTTCTTGTGGAAATCACCGAATTTCCCTGCGCCAGGCTTTCCATCCACATGAAAGAACAGAGTCGGAACACCATTCACGAGCCGCACGCCGATGACAACGGATTTCCTGTCCCCTTCCTTCACAACCTGGCCATGCTTGAAGCCTCCAACCCTCTGACAAATTTCGTCCCGGATGTCATACCGCTCCAAATGGCCATGCATCAAAGAGTTCGGCGCCATGACATACTGGAAGGTGGGGGTGACCTCCTTTGCAACCTCGAGCAGCTCTCGGTTGTCAGCAATGACATGCCACGGCTTTGCCTCCCTGACCTTCTGCCGTCCGATGACCTTCACTTTCTTGAAAAGCTCCTGGTCGTCAAAGATGCCTGCACCATCCGCGCCATCCACGTGGTAGAAAGGCGAAATGATATCTAGATCGTCGTCCGACAGCGCGACGCCAATCATCACCGCCTGCATGCCTCCCACTTGAACTCGTTGGCCGTGCTTGTGACCACCGAAGGCCTCGCAAACCTCGTCTCTGATATCGAAGAACTCAACATGCGAGTGCTTCACGCCGCAGGGATATGCGAAACTACGTTGGAGGTGGCACTTCTTGATGGCCTCCTTGCCTTTCTTCAAAGCCTCGAGATAGGACGCCTCGTGCGTGAAGGGGTCTGCATGCTCCAAATCGTTCTTGCTGTTCACGCCGATCCGGTAACAGTTTCTCATCCCACTGCTCCACTGTACTGTGGCCCAGCCTGTCTCCGTGTTGAACTGGAGGACACGACCCAAGCAATGTTTGCCGCCGTCCTGCATGGCTTGCGCCGTGCTGCTTTAGAGGCACCCGGTCTTACACATGGCTGAGAACTACTGCACTCCCGCTGTAGGGAGGCATCTAACAAAGCCGTCCCCGACTTGATGTCTTCCGCAAACTTTCACATGAAAGCCTTTTGGATTTGTTCGACTAAATGCTGAGCTGGAACTGTTCATAGACATGAACAGTTGAAGAGTTCGCTGATTCTCACCCAGCCAGGCCTGATCCTCCCAGATCCAACTCGGGCCACGCTGCACCATCGCTCCCTCGAAGATGTTAGAGGAGGTCGCGGCTGCACCAGGAGACGGAAGCACCGTCCTGATAGGGAACGAGCCCGCAATAGGCACAGCATGCCGGAAAATGCATCGGAACGCATATGTGAAGCTGATGTTTATGGAGCCAATGCAGCTGTGGTACAAGTTGGAGCCCTTGATGGCTTTCACAGCTCCGTCCGGAAGCTTCACGTCGTACCGATCGGCGCCTTTTGGCGCCTGCACTCTGCAGACTCGGCCGTTCAGGGCTGTGGCATTGGTGAGGCCACTGATTTTGGCCAGGTCCCCTGTCTTCAGAGGATTCATCTTCTGGGAGTCGAGCTCCTGTCACCAGGGTTCGACAACGCAGGATGGGAAAGCAACCCGGGTTCAGCTTGGACTAGCACAGGCATGGGTCCTGGCTGGGCTTCAAGTTCTTCCCGTGGATGAGCTTCCGGCTTCCGTTCGCAAACTCGACGATGTACCTTCCCTTCTCCGCTTGGAACTCGTCCACCACACCATGCGCACCTGCAGCAAAAACCCAGGTCCCAGTGTTGGTCTGCTCCTGGGGTTCCTTTTTCGGACTGATCTCTGACGAAGGGACAAGAAGAGCAGAAGAGCACATCCTGGCAGAGTCTACCAATTGTATACCCCATGCTTGGCCCAGCACCGTTCAGGGAGGGAGTTGCAACGAGGTTGTGGACCACGACCCAGGAGCCGACAGACAACCTGGGCTTATGTGGTCATTCGGCTCTGTCATCCCTGCCAGGCATTGGCGCTGAAGGAAAACCCCGTAATGCCCGAGCGAGCCTTCAGCCCTTAAGACACCTCTCCCTGTCAGTCGGCCCACCAAGGCAGACTCCCCGAAATCCAGGCCGCGAGCCTCGACCCCGAAACCTCTTCGAAGCTGTCGCCGCCTTTCCAAGCATTCAGACTACTACGTTCGACCCGGACCTTCACATAAGTGGCGAAACTTGTTGCAGGGTTCCATTCCTGCAAGATTCAGTGTCTCATGGGCCGCTTCTGCATGCTGTTACAGACTAGCCATAGGATTGCGAACACTCAGTTGGAAGCGTATTATCATGACAGTGCACCCTGGTGAGCCTAGTCAAGCAGCAAAGAGTTGGCTGCATGGCTGAAACAGTGGAAATCAACATACCAACCGTTCCAACAATCAGCATCAGCGTCACCACCAACATACCAACATCACCACCACCACCACCACCACCACCACCACCACCACCACCACCTCCACCATCACTATCATAAGCATCATCAGCATCGTCGGAAGCATCATCATCATCATAACCTTGTCATCGGTATCATCATCATCACCATCATCAGCACCACCAACATCATCGTCGTTTATCATGACTACCAGAAGTATTGTTGTAATCAAGCCATCAAAGCCATTGATAGCACAGAGGCTGTGTGAAGGCATCGTCCGGGACATCCATCTCGCAGGCGGAGTCTGGCTCCTCGCAGTGACACTGGGGCTGCTCTTAGTTCCAGTGGGCGTGCCAGCGAGGCCTTGGGCATGGGATTCGATGCTTGAGGATTACAGCTGAGACATTGCTACAAATCAGAGCATGATCCTAGCCTTTATGCTGGTGAACTGATATGCTTCGCCCCGCTGAGGGACACAGAACCTTTGAGTACCTGGTGGGGAACGACGCACGTGATGCGCGGTTTCAAGTCCACGGTTGGCGGACGACGAGACTAGTGGGCCAGCAGCGCAGATGTTCGATCAATTATCGGGGGTCAACTACAAGTATAGTTCCCTTGATCAGAGATATCAGGGAAGCTACGGAGAAATTGACGTCACGAGAGCGTGCCGTGAGCAGCGTGTCCCGCGCAGGGGACGAGCTGCGGAAGCTGCTGGGCGGTGCACTGCCGTCGCTGCCAGAATGCCTGAGCAAGATTGGAAGAGCGGTTCCGCGCCATGAGTCTATTGCCCCGTAGATCTCGGCTCAATGCCCCGAGGTGCCCGAGAGGAACTGCAGTTGCCCCAGTTCTTTCTTTTACGCCACATCACTACTGAGCAGAAAGCATGGCATCATCGATGCAAAGGACATTCCGAGCGCAGACCCCAAACCCTCAAGTCGCATTTCATGGCCATGCGAGAGCCATGTCGAGCCAATGAGTCAGCAAGGCACGTGGGCAGCTTCGCGCTGGATCGGGCCAGAACAGAGAGCCGCTCCAGCTCGAGAAATGCGGCAGTCCTTTTACGATTCAGGATGCTTTACAGCTCAGGGACAGAGTTGTGCTCGCTTGAAGTTGACAACCCGTCCGGAAGTCCTCTCGGCTTCAGGCAGCTCGGGGTTCACCGCGGCCTCCGAGTCCACGAAGTAGCCTCGAACGGCGGGCAAAGCTTCGACGAGACTCTTTCTCAAAGCTGTTGCTGGGTAGACTGTCTATCAACAAAAGATCCGAGCTGCTGGGGAAGGGCTCGCCACGCGGGAGGCGCTCCTCCAGGGAGTGGGGGAACTGGGCCGCCAGCAGCGCGCTGAACTCCTGGCAGTGCTATGCACACAAGCAACGGGGCTCAAGGACCAATTCGCGAGACGGAACATGCAACAAAAGGCTCCTCACGCATCATGTCCCGTGTCTTGTTGCCGCGGCGGCGGGCGGACCGGGGATCCGTATAGTAGCGCGTGAAGGCCAAGACGACATGCCGCCAGAAGCGCTTGCCGAAGCACTCTTCCATGAGACGGAGCAGATTCTCCAGGATGCTGCCGATGCGCGGCTGCTCCGCATTAAGGACCACGACAAAGAGGTTCACGTAGCCAAAGTCACGGAGCATCCGCACCACCTGCGCCAGCCTCGTGGCATCTTGCTCGCCGTCGCCCACACCCGGCGGGTCCACCAAGACCACTTCTTCTTCGCTGGCACGGCCGAACCAGCGTGAACGGTGGCACGTCGCCTGCAATGTCACGGCCTCGGCGCTGTCGCCGACCTTAAAGACTTGGTTCGTCTGCTGCAACCCGGCGAGGGCTGTGGCCAGCAAGCTCTTGCCCACGCCGACGCCACCCAGCAGCACCACCACGGGTGCACCCTGCAGCGGGCCAAGCTGCGCCGCCGTCGCGGCCATCGGTGAGTGGAAGGTGCGCGAAAGCAGAGGAGGGCCAAGGTACTTCTAGACGAACGGGGTAAGGAGCCGTGCGGCCATAGCGATATCCGAGGGCATCGACAGTCGTGCTCGTGCTTGCAGCTGACGAGCACTCCCTACGGCCCTACGGCTCGTGAGATTCGACAGCCCGCTTTTCTGCACAAGGCAACATCCCTAATTCGAGGCACAACCTGCAGGACCGGCCGCAGCAGACGGGAGCACTGCTCGCCTTTGAAAACTGCAATGTGCTGATTCCCATGGCGCCCCTGCTGCAAAGGATGTCCTCCGAACATCTGGAGCCCGTGTGCACGTTGAGAACGCGCAACTCAACACCCCAGATGCACAATCGGAGGGCTCATGCCTGTGCAGCTCGGTGGCAGCCGGAGAAGACAAAAACTTGTCTGCTGGAGCCTGCCGTCTGCGCGATCACAAGACACGAATTTGCGCACGGCCGTGGAAGACGAATCTGCTGGCTTCCAAGATGGGCTGCAGGCCCCAGCAGGGAAACGTTGCTTGCAGGCAGCCACGTGGGATAAAATCCGACCGGCTGGTCTGCAAACAACCATTCCTCCTATCAGATCATCTGCTCTCGCAGCGAAACGGCAAAATCGACAACGCACGAAATGCGATGAAGATACAGGAGAATTACATAGACGGGTCGAACATTGCAGCACGGCAGAACAGCAGTGACATGCTGGTTGGAATTAATTAGGCTGCATTGCCACATGACAAGTTGAAGTGTGCCTGGGAATGCCGCTTTCGGTGTGGACCCGTTGTGCATACTGCAACTTGCAGCAGATTCCGTGGCCCTACAGGGCTCCATGTGCACACCCGACCTCATCATCAACCGGGCACCTAGGAAGGAATGCAGGCATCCTGAGAAACGCGAAGACCGCGCTGCCCCGGATGCACTTGAGCCCTATGCCGGATGGGATCCTCTGATTTCTGCGAGGAAGCGTCGGACTCGGAATCAGAGCCGCTTGAAGAGGTTGAAGGGGACGCCTTGCGGGGTTTGGGTGGAGACCAGCCCTGCCGGAACCCCTCCTCCGTCACCTCCTCTATAGTATCGATCCCCAAGCTCTTGACGTGTGGTTTCATGAGATCGAAGTTCTCAAAGATCCCTGCACCAGGCGAAGCGACCGGCTTTAGCACATGGAAGAACATCGTCGGCACCATGCCCTCCAGCTTCACTCCAATTGCAACAGCCTTTACTTCTCCGAACTTGACCTTCTCTCCATGCCGACAGCCACTCACATGCAAGCAAACCTCGTCACGCACGTCAAATAATTCAAGCTTGGCACGCCCTTTGGTACCTTCCGGGTAGCGAAACGTCGGCTGGATGCCCTGCACGAACTCAGGGCTAAAGGCTCGTGGTTCGAGATCCTCAAACTCTTTGACCTCTTGCCTGCCGACAACGGAACCTGTCCGCCGAATGAAATCCTGTTCCTCGAAAATCCCAGCGCCGAGTGATCCCTCCACATGCATCCAGAGATGAGGCGTGCCGCGCCGGTCGGGACGCACTCCGATGACCACAGCTTTTCGGTCCATACCAACGAGATTGACGACGTCACCGTGCTTGAAGCCACCCACCCCCTCACACACCTCGTCCCTGATGTCGAAATACGCCGGATCCAAGGACTTTTGAAGGTAGCGGAAGGTGTAGTCATACTCGAAGTCAGGGTCGAACTCACGCGTAGACTGGTCAGCGTGACTTTCAAGAGACGAGAGGAACTGATGCAGCAGCTTTTTCATGCCACCCCTTTGAGACTTAGCATGCTGGAACACAGGATCGGAAGGGGGTACCTCCTGCAACACTGCTGAACCGATCACTTTGAACTCGGCAAGGTGATACCTCTCGTATTTGCCAGCTCCCGGCGACCCATCCAAGTGGAAGAACAGGGCGGGCACATCATCATCCAGCCTGACCCCTACTACCACAGCACAGTCGCCGTCATGGTCAAGCACCTTCTGGCCATGCCTGAACCCGCCGACAGCTTCGCAGACGTGATCCCGGATGTCAAATTTTGCAAATAGTGGGAATATCGGACCGCATGGATAGCCAAAGGTACACTGCAATGTTGTGGACAGGTCCCGAAGCTCTGCAGACGGTGCCGGGCTTTTGAAGAAGTCGTCGGGTGCCTCCTGCACAGTTCGGGACCCAACCTGGGCAGCAAAAGCCAAATCGAACCTATAGCGCAAGCCACTCAATCTCTTCGGCATCCGCTACGCTTGAACTTGAACAACTATGTCAGCCGAAGTATGCCTCAACAAGAACATTCGACCTGCAAAAACTCAGGGTCCAACGACGACGAAGTTCTTCTTGTGGAAATCACCGAATTTCCCTGCACCAGGCTGTCCATCCACATGAAAGAACAGAGTAGGAACACCCTTCACGAGCATAACACCGATGACAACGGATTTCATGTCCCCTTCCTTCACAACCTGGCCATGCTTGAAGCCTCCAACCCTCATGCAAATCTCGTCTCGGATGTCATACCGCTCTAACCGTCCGTGCTTCAATGACCTTGGCGCCAGGGCATACTGGAAGGTGGGGTTGACCTCCTTTGCAACCTCGAGCAGCTCTCGGTTGTCGGCAAAGACATGCCACGGTTTTGCCTCCCTGACCTTCTGCCGTCCGATGACCTTCACTTTCTTGAAAAGCTCCTGGTCGTCAAAGATGCCTGCACCATCCACGCCATCCACGTGGTAGAAAGGCGAAATGATATCTAGATCGTCGTCCAACAGCGCGACGCCAATCATCACCGCCTGCATGCCTCCCACTTGAACTCTTTGGCCATGCTTGTGGCCACCGAAAGCCTCGCAAACCTCGTCTCTGACATCGAAGAACTCGACATGCGAGTCCTTCACGCCGCAAGAATACGCGAAACTAAGTTGGAGGTGGCACTTCTTGATGGCCTCCTTGCCTTTCTTCAGAGCCTCGAGATAGGAAGCCTCGTGCTTGAAGGGGTCTGCATGCTGCAAATCGTTCTTGCTGTTCACGCCGATCCGGTAACAGTTTCTCATCCCACTGCTCCACTGTACTGTGGCCCAGCCTGTCTCCGTGTTGAACTGGAGGACACGACCCAAGCAATGCTTGCCGCCATCCTGCACAACGTTGGCTTACAGATATCCCATCTACACATGGCTGAGATCTGCCCCTGTCCGGCTCCTAGGAGGGATAAAGCATGATCTATCGAATTCTTCCCCAAATGGACTTCCCTCCGCATGAGAGCCTTCTGGCTTAACCAAGTACTTTGCTAGACTGCCAAACCTCGTCATCGACATAAACAGCGACAAAGTTCACCGAGCCGTAGGCATTCTTTTGTGAAATCGTGCTTTGAATGTTTCGGATCCACCCTTTCCGATCCCTCCGCTTGCCTGGTCCTCCCAGATCCAGCTTGGGCCGCGCTGCACCATCGCTCCCTCGACGAGGTTGGAGGAGGTCACGGCTGTGCCAGGAGACGGGAGCACAGACCTAACCACACACAAGCCCGCAGAACGTACGACACACACAATATAGAATCGTGGAATCAACACTGAAGTTTACGGGGCTAATGCAGCTGCGGCACAAGTTGGAGCCCTTGATGGCTTTCACTGTTCCGTCCGGAAGCTTCACATCGTACCGATCGGCGCCCATTGGCGCCTGCACTCTGCAGACGCGGCCGTTCAGGGCTGTGGCATTGGTGAGGCCACTGATTTTGGCCAGGTCCCCTGTCTTCAGAGGATTCATCTTCTGGGAGTCGAGCTCCTGTCACCAGGGTTCGACAACGCAGGATGGGAAAGCAACTCGGGTTCAGCTTGGAGCAGCACAGGCATGGGTCCTGGCTGGGCTTCAAGTTCTTCCCGTGGATGAGCTTCCGGCTTCCGTTCGCAAACTCGACGACGTACCTTCCCTTCTCCGCTTGGAACTCGTCCACCACACCATGCGCACCTGCAGCAGAAACCCTCGTCCCAGTCATTCGCGTACGAGTCGGGTTGGTCTGCTCCTACTCCTGGGGTTCCTTTTGCGGACTGATCTCTGACGAAGGGACAAGAAAAGCAGAATAGCACATCCTGGCAGAGCCTACCAGTTGTATACCCCATGCTTGGCCCCGCACCGTTCAGGGAGGGAGTTGCAACGAGGTTGTGGACCACGACCCAGGAGCCGACAGACAACCTGGGCTTATGCGGTCATTCGGCTCTGTCATCCCTGCCAGGCATTGGCGCTGAAGGAAAACCCCGTAATGCCCAAGCGACCGGCTGCATGGCTGAAACAGTCGAAATCAACATACCAACCATGCCAACAATCAGCATCAGCGTCACCACCAACATACCAACATCACCACCACCACCACCACCACCACCACCTCCACCGCCACCATCACTATCATAAGCATCATCAGCATCGTCGGAAGCATCAGCATCATCATCATCATCATCATAACCTTATCATCGGTATTATCATCTTCTTGACACGCGGCAAGAGGGAG